TTTGAAATTAGTGACTAATGTAGTTAATTCTTGAAGCAAGTTCAAAACAATCATAGATTTGCAAGCTAAAGTATGAATGAGAAATAGAAATATCTACCAACAATTGTTTGGAGTCTAGGACGTTTTCTTCACATTAAAATGATATTGTAAAGATATAATATTGTTGATCAATACAAATCCATCAAAATTTAGCAAATATTTAAAAATTTAGAACAAGACAAATGCATACTAATGATAAAATTTTATTAGCACCACAAATGTCTATTCATTACTGTCAATTTTGAATAGAAGTCATTGTCAAGTACATCCTTAAAAAAATAGTGCATCAATAGATCAAATTGATGTAATTTATACCAAATATGAATTAAATTAGCCATTGTGCATTTTCCAAATTAAATAGCCAACCATTAAATCTTATGGATTATAGAATGAGTACCATTTATAGAATAATTAATCAATAAATCATGTAAGAAAGGATAAAGTGTATCAAAAAAACTTAATTAGCATTTCAAATATCATCACATGAGTATGATATTTGAAGAATGGTATTGTCAATAAGTAGAAAGTATAAATACTATCCTTTATTGTAAAGCAAGTGCTGATATTCAAATACGACATAGTATGCATGGTAGATGAATTGAAAGCAATTGTAAAATTAGTGGCCTTATTGAAAGACTCAATAATGATTTAAAGACCAATGACACATACAATAGGGATATAATTTGGAGCAATTTGGTTGCTGCATTCATTGAAAAAGTTGAAGCTACTTTCATTGCAAACTAGTTGAAAGTTGAAGCCACTTTCATGGCAAACTTTTTAGAAGTATTGATTTCAATAACATACTTGTTGCAAGGTGTGACATCAAACTTGTCAATAGAAGTTTTTAGTGTAGGCTCATTTTTCTTAAACAAGCTCAATGTCCTAGACATCATAATACCATCAACATTGTCATAGTGAAATAACAATTCATTAATAATGTTATCAAAAATTGACTTATTGAGATTGAATCTCAAAGTTCTAGTATTGCTTTTAAAATGATTCTCAATATGGTTGATAAATGGCATGCCAACATTCTTAAAGAATGCTTCTTTGTCTTTGATAGTTATCAAATTCTTATATTTGTTCTACTTAAGAAGATACTAGAGTATAAGATATTGAAAATAGTGATTTCTTCAAAATTGATTTAATTACTTGAAATGCTTGGTTATTTATTGCTTTGCATCAACCTTTTCTTCTTGACTAAAAACCATGCAAAATTAACAAGCACATAATTTCACTTCAATATTACATGCATCTTTTGTTGTTATGGTCCTACCAAACTAAGAATCATATTATTTTTGGAACATTAGTATTGTCTATTTCTAAACTTCTTTGGTAAGAAGTTGCACACCATTTAACTATGTAAAAATGGCAACAATACTATACTAATATTATCTATTGGTAAAAAAGATATAGGAAGGGATGAAAAAATTAGGATTCCAATAAAATATTATAATTATGAAAACACCTTCTTTCATACAAAGTCCAAAATCATATTTTTTCTTTTGAGAAAATAGTCCTTAGTAAACCTCATAGGGATGTTGATCCTTGACTCCTTTGCAAATTATTCAAGAGGGTTACTATAGAGGGGGCTTTTGTCCACCTCTCTTCTTTCCTTCCTCCAACCTCCTTACAATTGTTACAAATATCAATTAGGCTCCACACAATAACAATCTTATTTAAGAATTATAGCTGATATTTATTTAATAGAATTATGAAAATTATTGGATTGATCATCATGCATTGATTTGAATATTTATATTTTAATAGTTATTTATTTATTTTATGTGAAATGAATACATCATCAAAATGAACTTTCATCAAAATTAAATAGTGTATGAGTTTACAAGTAGCATATATTGCTTCTAAAAAAAATACAAAATAATTGGCCACCAACAACTAAAAATCAATATCTAATAATAAGTGTGGATTGGTGAGAGATATTTATTTGATAACTATTATGGAGCAATAAAAATAATCCACATTAAGTATGAAGCAAAATGATTTGATGTGTCTTTTTTAGGACTAGAAGAATAAAGAAAGAAAATATTTCTATAAGTGTAGATTAATTTTTAGTTTGTTTATTAAAAATCCATTGAATGAATGTGGATTAATTTTTGAGTTGATTTTTAAGAGTCTATTAAATGATCAAATTGTATATATTTAAATGGTATAGTTTTAGTCTTTACAAGAGAACATGTTGGATATTGTAGATGTTGGAAATTATAATAGTTTATTATAGTTGCAAATTTAAAACTTTTATTTTATTTTTTATTTTTTATATGAACTTTTAAATATAAATTATTCTTAAATTTGTAGAAATAAATAAATAAATAAATTATAATTTTAAATTAATTTTAAATAAATTAATATTAATTTTTAAATTATAAAAAAATAAATTATTGAAAATTTATTTAAAACATAAATTTAAAATATAATTTTTTTAATTTTAACTTTTAAATATAAAATTTAATTAAAGAATATAATTTATTAGCATGATATAAAATAATACTCCTTTCAAAATATATCTATTTTTTTCATTAACTAATTTAGTATTTTAAACTTAATTAAGTAGTAATAATTTTATCTTGTGCATTATGTTTATAAATATGTTTATTATTTTATAGAATTGTATTACTATAAATATTAGAATTAAAAAAATATTGAATATACCAGAAATAAAAAATAAAAAATATAGAAAATACTAAAATATTGAATTATTATATATTTAAAATTAAAATTATTATTTTATATCTAAGCTCTTATTATTTCAAAAAATTATACTTAATCACATTATTTTCTTAATAAAAATTTCATGGATTTTAACACTACAAATTTTTTTAATTCTATGTGCATAATTTTTTACTATCTTAACTATTAGTAAAATTTTGTGCATATTTGGTTCCTTAAATGGACTAAATCTTTGTGGTCCTTCAAATCCAGCTTTAATTTACTTCATCACTAAATTCATCATACACACATGTAAGTCTATAAATAAAATTTGTGATAAATATGGACATAAATCAAAAAATCAAAATAAATCAAATCAATCAAAATAACTATTTGTTTACAAACAAATAGTAGAAATATTTAAGAAAGTTCCAAGGCTTTCACCGAATCTGTGTTTCTAGAACTGATAACGGGCCAGGGCATTGTATCAGCCTCCCTCAAACGCCGGAGTCTTGATTGAACTAAACCAGAAGATGCGAGAGCATTCCAGGGAGAGCCACCGTGCGGGTTGCATGGGACATATCTGGTAGTGAGTAGTTTGGGTGGAGATAAGGATTATGCACCGAGTCACAGAAAAAAAAAAAAAAAGAAAAAAAAAGGACCCTGACTTGTCAGTGCGGCGGTTATCGTTCCTCATCACGAGAATCGTTTCGGAGACGAGAAAAACCAGCCAGAAAGAATGGGACTTTCATTTTACTCTTACGGGTGAAGACAAAGGGCAAGTGCACTTCTGCCTCCCGTGAGATGGTGCTTATGTGCGTGCATGCCTCCAACCTGGCCGACTGACGATCCCCCCCCACCCCCATCTCTCGAACCCCAACAATAATGCATCGCCCTAGCTGCAACGGTTTTATTGCCGCGCACACGTAACGACGCCACGACCAAAGTAAATGAGCAACCGGACTGATTAGTCGATTGACTCTGTTCACATCCTTCACTGGAAGAGGAGTTAGCTGATCAGGGCCAATCATAGATTCCCAGCAAGTTGACTTCCGATGGATGGAACGTGATTAGCAAGTTGATGGCTTTCTGAAAACAGAAAAGTTGGAGGAGCCTTGAATAGGGGTACACTGAATGAGGAAGTTACTCAGGACACTCCTATGCCAATGTAACCCGGGGGGAGGAGATGGACGTCCATCCCGTCGATGGATTTGATATGGCCCCAAACCTTGTGCCCTGCCCAAAAACCCTACCCAATCTGCTCACTGGCTGCAAGTTTGTGTAAGTCTGTATACTTGGATAAATATTTTGAACAACCGGTGTAGATGTTCAATATCACTCCAGTCAAAGCCTTGCTATTCTTGAAATAGTAAAATCAACTCTTAAATCTTGAATTTGAATATTTTAGAGCTCGTTCTTTATTTGATTTTATGTTCTTTCTTGAATTTCCAAGTTTAGATCCAACCCCCCCCCTCCAATAAATAAATATATAAATTTATATGTAATGTCTTCAAAAACCCTGACTACCAATTGACAGATTCCCTCGTCTTTTGATAAAAATAAATAAATAAGGAGGCTGAAGTAATCGAAATCATAGCAATGAAATACCTGAGACGAGGCATGGGGTGTCCAGTCAAAGTGAATCCAGGAGACCTGTAGTTCTTTACACACAAAAAAATGGGTGGGTTGGGAAACGAAAGTGAAGCTGATAACCTTGGAGAATTGACAAATGTGTCAGAAGGAAAACCTATTGGACGACAGGTGGACACCTCCCTGAGCTTGTTCTAATTTAGAGAAGTTCACAACTGTAGCGATACCCAAGTTGAATATATATCCACATATCTTGTCGGAGGAAACGTAAACTAAATTCGATTACGCATAAAGAAATCTATCTCAACTTAATTCCATTAAAGAAAAGTTTTATCTCAGGATTTCCCCCTACTGAAATAATGCACTGTATACATACAAACAAGCATTGCAACGGGTATACCCCAGTTGTGTCAAAAGAGAAGGGAATACAGGGAGGGATTCTTTTTGTTTTTATTTTTATTTTCCCCCTCATTAACCTTCGTTCAGAACCAGTTCTGGGGTGTCCTGTGCAGGTGGAGGATCTGGAGGCAATTAATCCCTGGGGACGGAAAACCGGGAGGGGTGCAGTAATAAGTCAGAAGCAGCTGGTTGAGATTATCACGCCACAAGTTCGGCGAGCTGGGGCCTGGTCCACCGGCGCATCTTAACTTCATTTGGAATAATCATGCAACAGGAAAGTTTTAGGGGGTCGAAAATAGGCTACGGTATTTCTGAGCTCCAGAGCAAAGAGCGGAGTGTTAGTGAGAGAAGCCTATGACGAGTTCTTAACACTGGCATGCTCCATCCCGACTACAGGCTCTTCATTCTACAATACCTCAGGCTGGAGAAGCAATAGTTCAGATGCGGGAGCTTGCTGTCCACTCGGAAAGACCATAGTGATGGGATACGAGTGTCAAGACGCTAGAGCCAAGATCCGCGAGTCGGTGTGAGGGAGGTCGTAGCTGTTTTGCATTTCAGAACATCTCGCAGGTTCGCTGGACTATGCCAAAAACCCCCTCCTTTCGATCTTGTCTGGATGAGTATAGGAATGTGATCTTCCATCTTTTGCGGAGCTTGAGGTGCTCTCGGACTCGACTAATATACATTTTGTAATATAGGATCTGTCTGCACGGAAGGTCAGTTTTAGTGTTTTGTGCGGCTCGAGCAGTACTAAAGAGCTCCACGAACACTCTTAAACAATTGCCGGATGTCTTGAGCTCGAATGTGTATCCTATCCGTCGTATGTGAAAACTCTAGCTTGTGTGTGAAAACCCTTGATTTCGAATGTGCCCCCAACAGCAATCCCCCATCCCCTCCTGCTGCTCCTCTTTCTCTTGTCCTGCCGAATGTAGAACCGATTACTTTCATTGACGGGAGCTGCTTCATGCCGGACGCAAACTTCCTTTTAGATGTACCCTTCCGCATATTCAGCAGGTTATATTGTCTCCATAGCTATGCTCTTCAGACACCTCGGGTTCCATCACCAGTCTTGCTTGGACAGAGATGCGTAGCCACTGATGCCAGACACAAGGAAGTCTCACGGAACCGCAAGAACAACTCTGCAAATGAACGGTATTGTGTTTCACAAGGCGATGGATTTTTTATGAATGGACATGGTATTGATGCAACTTTAGAATCCTTCCCGTCACTCTTTCGAAGCAGGAGCTTGAACTCGTAGTCTTCGGCATCCTCTAGTGGTCGACTGAGCTAGAGCCCACATTGCATATCAGCCGTTTTGTTCCCGAATCTTCGGAAATTTGCAGCTCCAAGTTGCATGATTTCTACTGCGAGTCTCACTGAAAAGGAGCAGATTCACTGGATTTTTCTCTTCCCGCCCTCTAATTTTCGGTGTAAAACCTCAACTGGATCTCTGTTTGAAATCAATCGAGCTGGTTTACAGTCGCTGGTGCTCGGGTGCACAGCAGATGGCCTTCATTCCGCTATGGTAAACTTATTTAGTTTTTACACGAGAAAGTCATAACTCAACCACTGCTTAAGTTCAATGTAAAGAGTGATCAACTGAAATTCATTTAAAATTCAGGAATCGTCTAATTATAATTTGAAATTCAATGCGTGTATTCTCGATGAAAATGCTGGTTTGCTAGTTGGGTTTCTCGTTTGATGTAAATTGCCGATTTGCAAATCATCCACTCCTTGCATTGTAAATGTCTAGTGGTGCGAGGTTGCTTCCTTCTAAATTATCAGGTTCGATTGAAAGTTTATGCTTTGATTTTGTTTCTTCAACGATCTGGTTCACAGGGCGGGAAGTTTGGAAGCCGGCTGGAGTGTCACTCGTCCTGTGAGTGAGGAGAGGAGGGTCCCAGCTTTCGAGCACAACAACAAGCGGAGCGGGGTGCTCCCCGATGTGATTCTCCCAACAATAACTTCCCTCAGAATCCCCTTCTCAAGACTATGCCTCCGTCTGCAGTGCAAGATGACTTTCCATCCACACCCGGCAAGGTTGGTTCGACGTTGCACTGTAGACGCAATAGCATAGACTTTTTACCTGAAGATCCTGTGCAGCCGGTAATATACCCCAAGATCCAGGGACCCACACTTTACATTATTGCACATCTTGATGTCGGTAGATCCATATGGAATTCTTATTTGTCCTGGTGAACGAACGATCCTGGTAAAATCTGTCATTCGCGAGGGACTGTCGTCTAGAATTACAAGTTTTTGCGAGTCTTCCTCAAGCAACTTCTTGAATATTTCTCCGTGCTTGTGTGTGGCACACAGGTGAAAGTGGATAGAAGCAACTACTTGGGACGGATGACATCAAGATGGCACTCGAGCACTGCTACAAAGATTCTCTGCACCACTTCCATTCTCCTCGCCTTGACGATATTCGCTGTCTTGTGGATGGGATTGCCCAGGGGAAGTGAAGGCTACAGTGGCCAGCGGACTCAGGGTTTCCAGCGCAGTCATGAATGGGAGAAGAAGGTTATCCACTCATGTGTTACCAATCGGGAGGACAATGCACTGACTGTGCTGGTCACAGGGGCTGCGGGCTTCGTTGGCACTCATGTCTCTCTGGCGTTGAAGAAGCGTGGTGATGGCGTCGTGGGACTGGACAACTTCAATTCATACTATGAGGTCTCTTTGAAACGAGCACGCCAAGAGCTTCTCAACAAGCACGGTGTATTTGTCGTCGAAGGAGACATCAACGACAAGTTCCTCCTTGAGAGCCTGTTTGAGGTTGTCCAATTCACACACATCATGCACCTAGCTGCCCAAGCTGGTGTGCGGTACGCTATGCAGAACCCTCTGTCCTATGTCCACAGCAACATCGCGGGACTGGTCAATATCTTTGAGGTTTGCAAGTCCGCCAATCCTCAGCCAGCCATCGTGTGGGCTTCTTCGAGTTCAGTGTATGGATTGAACACGAAGGTACGCACTCGATCACCAATTTGAAATCTTACACTTCAAAGTTGAAGAAGCCAATTAATGCAGTAGGATTCACCGCCTCACGATTCTCTGGAATTTTCTGCAGGTACCATTCTCTGAAGCTGACAGAACCGATCAACCAGCGAGTTTGTACGCAGCAACAAAGAAAGCTGGAGAAGAGATTGCCCACACATATAACCACATCTACGGTCTCTCCATCACCGGACTCAGGTTCTTCACCGTATACGGACCATGGGGACGACCCGACATGGCCTACTTCTCATTCACTCGAGACATCTTGAAGGGAAAGCCAATCAGCGTTTACTCAGGTCCGGGAGGCAAAGACCTCGCCCGCGACTTCACCTTCATCGATGACATCGTCAAGGGCTGCGTCGCTTCCCTCGACACAGCTGAGAAGAGCACTGGCAGTGGTGGAAAGAAGACCGGCCCCGCGATGCTGCGCGTCTTCAACCTCGGCAACACATCCCCTGTAACCGTCCCTGCTCTTGTGGACATCCTAGAGAAGTACCTCAACGTGAAAGCCAAACGCGAGATCATCAACATGCCCCGTAATGGTGACGTCCCGTTCACCCACGCGAACATCTCGTCCGCCCAGGAGCAGCTCCACTATAGGCCTGTAACGAACCTGGACACTGGGTTGAAGAAGTTTGTAAAGTGGTATCTCAGCTATTATGGAGACAATTCCAATCGAAAGTTGTGGTTGGGGAAACATGAGCAAATCCTGTAGACTAATTGCTGTGTCTTGTAAGTCATCGTTTTCTTTCATCACGTCGTAATTAGGGTTAGGATTGCTTTTCGCTGTCTTCTCTCTGGGCTAGTGACCTATGCATGAACTCTACTTTTCTGACACCGTACATTTATGTATTCATTAATTTAAGAGAGGAGAGTCAAGGCGAGGGAGGAATTACCGATTATCCGCTTTTGTAATTGTAAATGTGAACGCTAGCAGCTTCGTCTTGCGGTTGAAGGACCAAGGCCGTGTAACTTCAATGTTATCTGGAGGGGTGGTAGTCAGCCAATGAAGGCTAGAAACAGCTGCGTTGCACAGTGAGCTCTTGATCAGTGACCAACTACGTTAAGGCCCGTCACTAAGTAATTCTTAATACGTGGTCTGCCCCTTTCATCGATTTGTAATTAAGACGATTTCATTCTCAGCGGCTGCCTTTGTTCATTTGAAAATACCATCCCGCAAGGCACCTGTTAATGGATGGTAGATCTGAACACCGTGTCTTGAAAACGTCTGTATGTCACTCTCAGTCCAAAAATTTAGTTTTTAGAATCCGAGAGGTAGATGGTAACTTTATTATGACATGACATATTCTGAACATAAATGTCATACCATACAAGTAAAATGAATATTGTAAACGATAAAATGGCCTGACAAAGGCAGAGAAGAACAGAATTCTGGTAGAGTATACCTCAATTTGTAATGAGATGTATACAGTTGACTGATCAATCTTGCATAATGTAAAGTCACAAAATACTAAAAAGCAAGCTACTGTCTACTGCTAAATATAAACTGCTTAGTACAGGTAAGTGACAAATTACATGTATGTTTTGTTGAATCATGCAGCTCCTAACGGGCAAACAAACTGACTAATGAGCTTATGAACATGTGATAGGCAAATGTGTAAAGAAACTGCTGTCTTCTTAGTGCTCATCCCCTAAAATATCATTTGCAACTTTCAACAGTTGTTCAATCAACAAACAGCTCTAGTAAGTATGCAACTAAATACTACTCCCTTCTCTCCCTCTTCCTACACATATGTTTAAATCTAAAAAAATATGTTTAAATCTAAAGTTATTTTTTTTACCTTGAATTTTTTATAGTTATTCAATGTAAAAAAATAACTTTGAATTGATAGTAACATTACAAAAACATTATAGGTATTTTTAAAATTTATTTAGAATGTTATAGGAATTTTTTGAGCAATTTTTCAATGCTTTGGTAAAAATAATGTTTACTACTTTGGACGGTCATTATGAAGAAATTGATTAAGATTTGAAAACTCCATGCGGCTCTTAGGCTAATTGAGGGTTTTTGAATACCATAGTAAAGTCAAGAATAAAAAAAAGAAAAAAAAAAGAAAATACTAATAAGAAATAAGAAGATTTGTAGCTAGTACATCACTTGTAAGAATGGAGATGTACATGTTATGTATGAGTTATAGCACCTTGGATATAAGTAGGACGATAAGATTAAGGCCTCATGATTTCTCTTAGATATCCTTATTATTTTTTGTAAGCCTTGGTGAGACTTAATCTTTTAATTTCTTCAATAAATTATCATTAAAGTAAAATATATTTATATAATTATTTATTACTTCATTGCAATTCTTTCACTTATTTTGTCTTATAATTTTTTTTTATTTTTTTATTTTTTCTTCTATTATCAAAAAAAAAATTCAAAGAATGTAAATAAAGAAGAGAGACAAATATCAAAAAGAGACAACAAAATTAAAATAAGAAATTATATATATATATATATATATATATATATATATTTAAAAAAAATTACAATGGCTATTAGCAAAAAAATTTAAAAAATAATAGCTCTTGAAATTAGATTAGAAGTAAGAAATAAGTTGGCAAGAGTGAGAAAGACCTTATTCTTGTTTTTATACAAACTATTTAATTTCAAGCTATAGAGTGACATTCTATGAGTGTCACGGACATACACATGTAAGCCAGTAATTACATGTATAAATAGATAGAAGTAAGTAAAAATAGATAAAAGTAAGTTAATTCTATAATATTTACTATGGAAGCTTCCTATAAGCTTTGCATACGCTGCTTTGACTTTATAGGTGTCTTTAATTGACTTTTCGGATTAGAAATGTGGTCAACAAGTTCGCCATGTGCCACACATGTTGTTAGCTTGAAGATCAAGCTAATTATGTGACCCACACGTAGAAAAACTTGCCTTATAAGTCAAGGCATGTGTCCTACAAAGTCAACACATATTGGAGGTCCTATAGAACATCGCCACATAGCCCCTAGTTAGATAGTATATATAGAGACAAGAGTGAAGCCTTCTTCACTCTTGTCAACTCCTTTCTTACTTCTAGTCTAGTTTCAAGGGTCTCTGGTCCTCTTATCTTTTGGCAATAGCCATTCCAATTTCTTTCTTAATATATATATTGAGTTATTTCTATTTTTTCATCTTTCTTTGAGAAAAGTCTCACTTGTTTATTTATTTTTATCAAGTTCTTGTCCTTGACAGATTGACAAGAATACACTTACAATATCAGAACTTTGTCTAATCTTGATGAAGAGTAGATTATCCCTTTTCCTTGATAAGATATAAGCATATTAGAAGTTGCGGATTACCCTCTTTTAAACTGATATTGTCTTTAGTATTTTCTCTTTTCTCAAGTCATCTCTTCCATTTGTCTTGAACAATATTAGACATCTTTTTTTCTAAATATTATCATGGTGCCATGAATTTAAAATACTGACTGAAAATCTAAACAAGAAGCTCAAGAAGAATCAAGTACTAGATTAATCAGATGAGTACAAGAACAACACTAGAGAAGTGAGCTAGAGCTCTAAGAGATGTGTTGTCGAGACTGAGGATCCCCTCAGTCTCGGCTTCTATATATACTACAAGCTAAGAAGCTTCTCAAGTAGCTTCTATAAACTAGGAAGCTTCTCAAGCAGCTTGCACAAGCTAGGAAGCTTGTCAAGCAGCTTTCACAAGCTTGAAAACTTTTCATGTAGCTTCCACAAACTACAAAGTTTCTCTAGAACCTTCTGGAATCTTCTACAACTTCATAGTGTATGTCCTTGACATCATCCCCCCTTTAACTTCGAGATCTCCAAGAAGCACTCCTATTACGAATTAGTACCAACGTAAGAAGTTGAAAATTTATCGCATAGTGTCTACAATATACTCCAATTGTTGTTTATGTGACAAGTAATTCATTGGTCCTTGTAACCAACGATAGTGTCCTATGCCTTTGATTTCCAACCAAGCATGAACTTTCGTGTCTTCATTGTAAAAATGCCTTGCAAACACTCCTTTGGAAAGATCACCGTAGGCAAGTTCTACCTCAAATACAATCACTAGCGACCTGTTACTAGGTATCTTCCATCGTCTTCATAGTATAGGCAGTTCTTCATCTCGGAGTCATCTTTGTGAGGTACTTGGTTGAGAAGACATGACTGATATGGTATCTATCTCTTGACTATCTATATCAAACCAAAAAATACAAGCACTAAACATGGAAGAATGTGCTCAGGTTATGGATTTATAGTCATTTACTAATCTTTTAGAGGTTCCTTCTATGCCTTCTTTATAAGGTCAAGAATTAAGAGACTTCAAAGAGAAGAAACTTCACTAAAAAACTTTCATTGAAAGGGCTTAGGTTTTTGAGGATAGCATCGATGAAACTCCTATACCTTTTGCGACACATTGATAAGATTTTTTGTTGGTTCCCATGTGTGCTCATTGATATCATAGCTCCTCCAATGCACTAGATACTCCAATTTCTCCCACTTACGTCATGAATCTAATACCTTTTCCACCTCATATTCTTCATGGTTCTCAATTTCAATATTAAATGGCAGACATTGCACTCTTCCAGGAAAAGACGACTCTTGATAAGGCTCCAACAAAGAAACATGAAAGACTGGATGTACCTTCATAGCAACCGATAATTCTAGACGGTATGCCACTGGATTGATTTGCTTCTGGATGATAAATGGTCCCAATCTTCCGTAGTCCAACTTATCACATGACCGCTTAGTTTTGATATTCCATCGAAGCAGCCATAATTTATCTCCAATTTTGAAAGTAGGTGCCTGATTCCAAAATTTATCTACGGATACTTTGTAAGCTTCTTAGGTAGTTTGCAATTGAAGCTTCAACGTAATTTGAAGCTTTGATAGTTGTTTCACAAACCTTTCAGTTGTCGGGTTGTTATTAATTGACGGACTCAATAAATCAAGCTTCGAATGATATCCATAGTTGGAAAAGAATGGTGTTTGTTGAGTCGACGCATGAAGGGAGTTGTTATATATAAACTTAGCTAATGATAGATATGCAGTCCAATCATCTTGTTGATAGTTGATGTTGCATCATAAATATTGCTCCAAAGTTTGATTCACCTGTTTTGTTTGGCCGTCAGTTTGAGGATGGAAAGCCTAAGAAAACTTGATATCCATCTTCAATATCTTAAAGAGAGATTTCCAAAAATTTGATACGAATTAGGTTCCTCGATCCGACACGATATCATCTGATAAACTATGATATCGATACATACTATTAAGGAAGAGCCTTGCTGTGTCTTTGCTTGACGATGTTTTCTTCCAAGGGACAAAGTGTGCCATCTTTGTAAGCTATTCTACCACAACAAAGATGTTGTCAAATGAATTTGATGGCGGCAGGTCTATAATGAAGTCTATGGAAACTAAAGACCATGGCCGATGTGGAATAGGTAATAGTTGAAGAAGACTATAAAGATGATGCCAAGGATTCTTGGATCTTGAACTAATTTCACAAGAGAGGACAAAATCCTTGACATCCTTCCACATTTGGAGCCACCAAAAATCTTGAGAAATAAGTTCGAAGGTCTTATTGAATCCGAAATGTCCCGTAACTAGAAAGTCGTATCAGGATTAGAGAACTCAAAGTTGTGTTAGTCCTTTTGGAATATACAACCGTTCTTTAAAGTGTAAAAGATCTCCTTCCACCTTGAATTTATCATTATTGACACGTTGTGTGGTATCGAGGGCTACAGAATCTCCAATAGTCGCAGTACATATCTGGTTGAGTAAGTCAATATCAATTGACACTATAGCAAAGCAAAGCCTAAATTGTTTCGACTTCAACAATGTTGTACACTGTTGATTAAACGCTGCTTCTCCAACCTTTGGCGCTAGATATGATCTCCTTGATAATACATCAGATAGTCCTTATTGCTTCTCAAGCCGATACGTAATAACAAAGTCAAACGTGGATAGCAACATATTCTATCGAGCTTGACAACGATTTAGAATCCAAGTTGATATGAAGTACTCCAAATTCTTGTGATCCATATATACGGTCACCGGATGCGCAACTCCTTCAAAAAAGTGATTCTTGGAAAGAATCCACTATTGCAAGAAATTCTTTATCATAGATCTCATAGTTGATCTCGGCAACAAAAAAACT